CAAGTCACTCCAGGGGAGGTTTAGGCTGGATTTGAGGAAGAATTTCTTCACTGAAAAGGTGCTCGGGCACTGGAACACGTTGCCCAGGGCCGGGGTGGAGTCACTGTCCCTGGAGGGATTTCAGAGTTGGGTAGTCGCAGTGCTCATGGATGTCGTTTAGTTGTTTCTCAGTGATGGGTTAGTGTTTGGACTCGATGATGTTAAAGGTCTTTTCCAACCTGGGCAATTCTGTGATTCTGTGGGAGGTTGTGCAGTTTTTGCCCTTCTCTTCAAGCCCCAACTGCAGCACTGGCTCCTGTTTGAGCGGAAAGGCTGGAGACCTCTTGAGGTCCCTTTCCACCTGAACTGTTTGGTGACACCCAAGGGCACTGACTGCAGAGGAAGGGGAGCCGAGTGCCCACAGCCGGGCACGGGAGGAGAGGCAGCTGCAGAACTATGTCCCTGGTGCTGTGGCACCGTGGCTGTGTAATGGCTCCTCTGTGGCTGTTACCTCTGACAGTCCTGTCCCCATGGTCACAGCTCTCCTGGGGACCAGGAGCTGAGCTCTGTCACCTGGTTCTCCTGGGAGCATGTGTGGGCAATGGGCATCCCTGTGATGGAGCTCCTGATTTTTCCTGTCGTGTCCATAACCCCCTTCCTAGAAAATTGCCCCCATTTTGCGCTGCTTGACTCCCAGGCACTCGGATGTGCTCCAGCCCTGCCAGGCAGGGACCCTGCCAGCCCCAGGGATCCTGCAGTGGCTCCTCAGGCAGCTCAGCCCCACCTCTGCTCCTGGGGGAGCTTGGCTGTCTCACACTGTCCTGTTTCTCTTGACTTTGACTGGGTTCCTACAGCTTCTTTGTAGACTGGGAACATCCAGAGTTTCATGTCCCACCTCTTGGCGAGCCAGAGTTGCCCCGCTTGGGGCTGGTTTGGCCCCCTCAGGGCTTGGCTGGCATGCGGCTGTGTCGGGGGCAGCTCTGACTCAACTGTACCTTGTGCTCATCCCCTCCAGTGCCTGGGTCCATGCCCTGGCTGTGGACCCCAGGACTTGTCCTGCTGTTCCCCTGGCTCGCAGAGCTGTCCAGCGGGTCCGGCCATCCCCAGCTGCATGAGCCGCTGCTGCTTTGCCTCCTCACGCTGAGTTTCTGTTCGTTTGCAGGTCACTGAGCGAGCTGTGTGTGCTGGATGTAGTAGCGGTCCCTGGAGAGCCATGGCCGTGCTGTGCCGGCAGCGATGATTCCCTGCTGGCAGGTACCTCTGCCTCCCTCGCTCGTGTTGTGCAGCTGGTTAGCGCAGGTGCTGCCATCCTGATGCTGGAGCTGCTCAGCCCTGGGTTGTCTCCTGGCCCCCTGGTCGGTGGCTGGTGTCCATGGCGTTGGTGCAGCTGTCATTGCTGCGCCGGCACTGGCTCCTGTGGTTCCTTTGCAGGCTGAGTGACACCGATGGTACATGGACATGGTCTGGCCACTGCCAGCAGTGAGGATGCCAGCACCGAGGCCTGGGTAGGAGCCTGGCCATGGTGGCTGTGGGGAATCCATGCGAGACGGACGAACAGGCCACGCTGGGGCTGGCACCTCCCTTCTGCCCTCCATAACCTGACAGCAGCCGGCTGATGCCCCAGTGGGGCACTATGGAGTGGCCCCCATGCATGTCCGTGTCCTTCTGCCTCCTGGACTTCTTTAGGAGGAAGCCCCAGCCTGTTGGAGGGGAGATGTTGCCAGGACCAGAGCCACAGGCACCAGAGTGCATCATGCTGTGCATCGTGCTGGTGCTGGGCGAGGATGGGGAGCTGGAGGAGTGTCCCCTGTGCCTGCTGCACCAGGCGCCCGACTGCAGGTGACCCGGTGTCCCCTTGCGGGGGGACAATGCCCTGGCAGGGGGTTGGACTGAGGAGAGGGTCAGTCTTTTCTATTAGCAAGTGACAGGGCTAGAGGAAATGGCTGCAAGCTGTGCCGGGAGAGATTTAGGTGGGATATTGGGAAGAAGTTCTTCACTGAAAGGGTCGTTGGGCGCTGGCACAGGCTGCTGGAGTCCCCACCCCTGCAGGGATTTAAAAGCCGGGTAGATGTGGCGTTCAGGGATATGGGTTAGCGGTGACCTGGCAGTGCTGGGTTAGTGGTTGGACTCAGTGATCTTAAAGGTCTTTTCCAACTTAAATGATTCCATGATTCATCCTTTGTGGGGCTGGACCCACTCAGAAGAACATCCCGATCCCTGTCCTGGCTGTGCAGCCTCCCAAGGCACAGCTGGGCCAGGTACAGCATCTGGGACTCAGCTCTACGCTGCAGCATCGCTGCTGTGCCTGGTCTAAAGAGGACATGGGGCCACCAGAGGGACTTCGGAAGTGACAGATGCTTTTAGGACTGGAGAAAATAATTCTGCTCAGTCTGTTTATTCAGACTTTGGGGGCGGCCTGGCCAGCACATTGATAGCAGGAAGGAAGCATCTAATACTGAGTTGCCCCTTAGCCGGAGTGATCCTGAGTCAAACCCGGCTGGCAACAAGTGAAAAATGTCCTGAGAAGAAACCCACTTTTGCAAAGGAAAAAAAATCATCTCCTTAGGTGCTTTACTCAGGCAGCACCACTCTAGGGGAACACGTCAACTCAGCCAGAAAGTTTCTGAGCACAGAGTCAGGCTGAGCAGCAAGTCCAGCCACCGCACCTGAGCTCCCAACTCCAAGGAGGGCTGCAGGAGCCCAGCCTGGGTCATCTGGGCCCAGAGCAATTCAGGTCTGGACACATCGTCACTGGGGAGGGGTGGCCCAGAGCCTCAGGGCTACCAGGGAAGGGGCTTGAAGACGGCACGAGATGCACCCACCTCAGCTGCCCAGGCATGGGCTACGTGACCCGTGGGATCCCAGACAACGGGCAGGACCAGGAGGGTGATTTCATCTTTGCGGAGGGGAGCCTGGCAGGGCAGGACATTGCTGAGGGCACTACCCCGCAACACAGGGACCCCAGAGCAGCTGGAGGAAGTCGTGTTGGGTGACCCAGTCTGCAAATCTCCCCAGGGCATCGCCTGGGCTCCCACACTGTGCGGGGAGGAAGGGGAAGGGGCTCAGCAGCAGGAAGCAGCAGCTGACCTTGCTATCAGTGGTTTATAGCCCAGGGACTTGACTCCTGTGGCAGCAGCTGCGGGACCACCGCGTCATACAAGCTTCGCACCGTGCAGCACTCTGGGTAGGAGCTGCTCCTGTCACACCTCACAGAGAGTGCGCAGTGGGTGAGTTAGCTCAGGAGGGTGGCTGGAGCCCCTGTCCCTTCCACACACATCGACTGTCCCCGGACACTTGCCTCCTGCTCCGCATGCCACCGGCTGTGCTCAGCTGAGCTGTTACCGGGTAGCAGGGAGGTGGCAGTCCAAGCACTGCGGCAACCCCCAGCTTCTCTGGAGCCGCAGATGCATTCCCCGTGCCCTGAGACATCAGGGACAGGTGTGCTCCTCCACATCCCACCTTCCTCCCCACCCACCTCCAGGAAAGAACCAAGGACCAACAGCACAGCTGCAGTTTTCTGGACTTTTAGTTTGAAAAAAGTATTGATTGAAAGTGTACAACAGAATGAGGCGTGGCAGCAGCACCACAGCCAGATTGTTTCACAAATGAAAACAGAAAGGGCCTTAAATAATTGGGTGCAGATTAAAAAAACCTTAACGGTGAAAAAGTTCTTCCCTCCGAACAGAAATTCACAGGCACGGAAATGGCAACAACCACATGGAGACAATGGGGGGACATCCTTCTTCTAACCGCAGGTTCTGCTGTGATGGGTCCTGCGCTCCCGCGCAGCTCTGCCCTCGGCTCCCTCTTTGGAATGGTTACAGATGAACGGTGCGACATGCCCTGGCTAACCAGACCCACCCCCCACCCCCCGGACACGGACAAACAAGGCCTCTGCTAAGGCTAAAAAAAGGACAAGACTTGGGAGTCTTGAGTTCAGCATGTTTAAGAAACGAGAGTCTGGTGGGCGCACAGCACAGTCCCTGTGCGAGGTTTGCTATTCCAGCTTGGCCTTCTTGGTGTTGTCGCCACCGTTCTCTTCCGCTGGTGCTGCCGGCGCCGCTGCTTCCTCCAGTTTCCGCTTCCCACTCTCGGTGGGCGGGTGTGTATTACGGGGTTTGAAACTGATAATGATGCAGGTCATGTTATCGCAGCCAGTGCCATCCCCTGAGGTGTCCGGAGCCAAACACTGATCCAGCAGCTGAGGAGGGACAGCACAGGATGGGGTGGGTTAGCGGAGCACAGAGCCCGACACCCTGCGCCCACGACTGCCAGGAGCTTAGTGCTGCCAGGCCACAACGGCGTGGGCTGGGCTCAAATGCTCTTTGCAGTCAGGCGAGGGACAGATACAGCTCCAGCAGCCTGGTTTTCTCAAAGGTATCACAAACTCCATTGGCCTGACAGCAACACAGAGGTCAGAGACACTGGTTGGGCTGTCTAAGGAACTGGGTCCCAGTTCAGAGGTGTCTCTGCTCTGCTCCTGTACAGCCCAGGCGCTGCCGGATACCCCCAGCACTGAACAACCTGGTCTGATGGAGAGGGAGGGCAGTCAGGCACCGAGCCCAGATCAGAAACGGGGCATGCTGAAGGGATGGTGGAGCTCTGGACCTTACCTCTTCTACAATGGAGGAGAGAGGCCTCAGGAGCCCATTCTCGTCCTTCTGGGTGATCTTGGACTGGATGAAATCCACCACTTCCTGGCTGCTCATCACATTCCTGCAGAGAGCGGAGAGGTCAGGAGGGCAAGCGAAGGGAGCAGTCCTGCCGCAGTGTCTGCCGAGTGTCCAGGGCCCTGGGACCTTACCCACCCCACCAGAAGAAAATCCCCGCGAGGCACAACCGCTCCCTCCCTGCTCACCAGATCCCGTCGCAGGCAATGACCATGAAGTCGTGGTCGTCATTTATTGTCAGCACTTTGATGTCAGGCAAGGCAGAGATCATCTGTTCCTCTGGAGGCAGATTCCTGTTCCGCTTGTAGAAGTGATCACCTGTAGCAGAGAGAAGGATCATTCTCCTGGCAATGCTGCCCAGCCCTGAGCAGTGAAGTCCTACAGAGGGCAGCTCCAGTGGAGCCGGAGCTCCCACCGCGGGCGCAGATCAGGCTGTGAGCACATCAGAGGAACCTGCTCTGTGTTCCCAGCACCAGCTTTGGCTGCTGCTACACAATGGGCGAGAGGTGCCTTTGCAGTTCAGCGCCTCTTCACCCCAAACCAAGGGTCACTTCCCACCTCCCGGGGCAGGAGCTGGTACCCGCTGCTGCCACCAGAGATCCGCAGCAGCGCTCGGAGCCACCCCCGGGCCTGGGGCC